AACCTGGGAATTGCGAAAAAAAACTTGGGAAACGCGAACAAGCCTGGGAATTGCGAAAAATGTTTGGGAAATGCGATGCTGGGAATTGCGAAAAAAGTTTGAGAAATGCGAACAAGCCTGGGAATTGCGAAAAATATTTTGGGAAATGCGAACCTGAGAATTGCGAAAAAAGTTTGGAAAATGCGAAAAAGCCTGGGAATTGCGAAAAATGTTTGGGAAGTGCGTACCCGGGAATTGCGAAGAAAGTTTGGGAAATGCGAACAAGCCTGGTAATTGCGAAAAATGTTTGGGAAATGCGAAGTCTGCAGGTCTGCAATTCCTTAAGTCCAAAATTTCACCCGGTGGCCTATCCAAAACTCACCCGAGCCCTCGGGGCTCCAAACCAAATATACACACAACCTCAAAAATATCACACGGACTTATTCGTGCGATCAAATTGCCAAAATAACATCATTATCAACAAATTAACCCTCAAAATCAAAGCATTTTTCTCAAACTTCATCAAGTATCAAATTTAGCAATTTAAGTCCGAATCACGTCAAACGACGTCCGTTTTGACCAAATTTTACAGAAACATCTTAAATCATATATAAGACCTGTACCGGGCTCCGGAACCAAAATACGGGCCCGATACCAACACGTTCTAATCAAATTTCATTTCAAATTTCCTTAAACAATTTCAGAAAACAATTTCCTTTAAAAATTCATTTCTCGGGCTCGGGACCTCGGAATTGGATTCCGGGAATACGCCCAAGTCCCATATTTTCCTACGGACCCTCCGGGACCGTCAAATCACGAGTCCGGGACCGTTTACCCAAAACGTTGACCGAAGTCAAATTAACTCATTTTATAGCCAAATTTTACCATTTTTCACAGATTTTCATATTTAAGCTTTTCGGCTACGCGCCCGGACTGCGCACGCAAATCGAGGTGACCCTAAACGAGGTTTTCAAGGCCTCGGAAACACAGATTTTAATTTAAAGCAAGTGATGACCTTTTGGGTCATCACAAAAACGAGTTAGAAACAACTTACAATCGATTTGGAGAAGAAATTTTCTTTGGAAAATCGCCCAAGAGAGTTTATGTTTTGAGAAGGTGTGAAAAATGGCTGAAAATGCGTCTAAGTGTTAATTAACTGGTCTCTGATGTCGCAATTGCGACCAGGGTTCGAATTGCGAACCCTTCAGAAGTCTGCCAATATCGCATTTGCGAAGGGGGGTTCGCATTTGGGAACCTTGAGGATTTCAGCTTTCTTCGCAATTGCGACTCTGCCTTCGCATTTGCGACAATTACATCGCATTTGCGATGAAGGGAACCCAGGCCAACACTCGCATTTGCGACACAAAGCTCGCATTTGCGAGCCAGGCTTCGCAATTGCGAAGCCTGTAGGCCTGCAACATACCAGCAATTCCTAAGTCCAAATTTTCACTCCGTGGCCTATCCAAAACTCACCCGAGCCCTCGGGGCTCCAAACCAAACATGTACACTAACCCAAAAACATCATACATACTTGCTCGTGCATTCAAATCACCAAAATAACATCAACAACTATGAATTTAGCATCAAAATCATGAAATCACTTAAGAACATCAAATGTTTCCAATTTTCTCAAATAGGGTCCGATTCACGTCATTTCAAGTCCGTTTCTTACCAAATTTCACAGACTCAACATACATCACATAAAAGACTTGTACCGGGTTCCGGAACCAAAATACAGGCCCGATACCATCAAATTTCAAACACATTTCACTTCCGAAAACTCATATATTTTCCAGAAAATAATTTTCTTTAAAAATTTATTTCTCGGGCTTGGGACCTCGGAATCCGATTACAGGCATACGCCCGAGTCCTATATTTTCCTACGACCTCCCGGGATCGTCAGAACACGGATCCGGGTCCGCTTGCTCAAAATGTTGACTAAAGTCAATCGTAATCAAATTTTAACTCTAGAAATTTCTATTTCTCATATTTTCACATAGAAGGCTTTCCGGATATAGGTCCGGACCACGCACGCAAATCGAGGTGAGGTAAAAAAAGGAGGTTTTTAGGCCTCGGAATACTGAATTTATTTCTAAAACAAGTGATGACCTTTTGGGTCATCACACGGAATTACTCAGCTATATGCAGGCTGTAGACGTCGCATTTGCGATTTGTGAACCCCGCAAAAGCGGACAAGGCATTGCAAAAGCAAACCAAGAGGCGTTCTACTAAAGTCGCATTTGCGACCAAAATATCCCAAATGCGAAGACAACTGCCATCGCAAAAGCAGTAGAAATCTTCGCGAAAGCGAATAGCCCATACTCGCAAATGCGAAGAATATCTTTGCAAATGCGAACTCTTCCCCAGCAGCCCAGTTTCTCAAATGTGAGGGCTACTTCGCAAATGCAATAGTCACATTTGTGACTAAAACATCACAAATGCGATGGAACCAGTAACAGCACTCAAAGATTATATAAAATTATTTCGAAACTAATCCGAAACTCACCCGAGCCCCCGAGGATCTAAACCAAACACCCAGACCAGTCCAAAGACGTAACACGAACTCGCTCGCGCGAACAAAACATCAAATTAACCTCTAGAATCACGAATCAGACGCCAAAACGCGTAGAAATTTCCATGAACTTCGAAAACTTCTAGAATCACAACCACGCATTCGAACCATATCAAATCAATTCCAAACGATGCCAAATTTTTCAAGCAAGTTCCATATGACGAAACGGACCTATTCTAAATTCCGAAACTAAAATGCGAATCCAATAGCGTTAAAGTCAAACCATGGTCAACCTAATAAAATTCTAAACCTTTAAATATCCAACTTCCGCCAAATGATGCCGAAACCCTCTAGAAACATCCAAATACAAGTCTGAGCATACACCCAAGTCCAAAAATATCATCTGGACCTACCAGAACCATCAAACTCTGATCTGAGGTCAAAGCTCAAAGGTCAAATCTTGTTCAATTCTTTCAACTTCGAGCTTCTCAAATGAGAGTCACTCCTTAAAATCATTTCCGAACCACTCAAAACCCGAGCCGATGATGCACGCAAATCATAATACACTAAGTGAAGCTACTCGTGACCTCAAACTGCCGAACCGGACGCAATTGCTCAAAACGACCAGTCAGGTCGTTACACTTTCATCCAAAAAAAAAAACAATATATTAATACTATAACAACAACGTCATCTATGTTACAATATTTCATCTAATAGTACATGACCAAACTAATCATGGATTGTGTAGCGCAACAAAAGAAAAAACAAAGGTATGGCCTATTGCAATCGATCAATTTACCTTATAAGCATATACACATTTTCCCAATAAAGTTCAATATGGGTAAGGTGAATAGGTGGAGAATGCAGGAAACTTAAAATTCGAGTTCAATTCAAGGTAGATTCTGTCAAATCGATATTGTCTATATCTTTCCTTTTAGAAAAACGATAACAATTTAAGTAGCACAATTTGTAATAAACAGAATAATTGGCCAAAAAAGAGAAAAAGGTTAATGTTTAAAGAAGTATAAATCACAAAAATGAAGTAACTTTCAACAAGTATCTTAGCTTGTGAATAATTCAAAGACAAGATAAAAGAATAGCGGATATTTGGCTATGTTGATTAGCTGATCAAATGACCTTATTACCACTTCTTTGGATTATCTATTCTTATCTTTTTATTGGTTATTTCATCATTCTTGCATTTTCCACCTACTTTTGATTTATATAATTGTTATGACTATACTAAATTTCTTAGCACAATCATATTTAAGCAGACATTGCTTGAAATTTTGCCCCTCTTCTTTGCCTGTCCTACTGAATTTTTTCGTACTATCATTGTTTTCCAATGTGGTTTTGGTTGATGGGTGATTCTATCAAATGATTGTTACGTTATTAATAGCCTTCTTTAAGAAAGAATAAGAAGTTACAAGATCTATTGGTAAATGAGAGACGTTACATGTGATCTTGTTTTAAGTTGTAATCTATGTTAAGGCTTACTATAATTATAATCTGTTGAATTATTAGTCTTTAATCATCCTTTAATAGAAGATAATTCCAGATACAAAATATATTATATTGCCAACAATGCCAAGGACACTTCTAGTAAGGATTTGAAATTAGGCTGGTTTCCCACAATTACAATGTTTATCACACCTTCCCACAGTAATTAATTCTTTTCTTGTGGATATGTAGGGACGATACATATTTAGAATGCAAATTATCTGAACCGCTTTCAATAAAGCATCATTTGATGACAAAAAAAAAAAAAAAAAAAACAACATTTTGACTCATTGTTACGAGTTTGAATTTTAATGATTTTTTAATCAGCATCACCTAGTATAGTTTTTTTCATTGTTTTCTTAACTATGCAAAAAAAATAATATATGAACGCACACGAGCAGGTTAACTGCCGTCCATTGGAAACAGCCTTTCTACCTATGCAAGATAAGAGTAAGGTTGCATACTCATACTCTACTCGTGAAATTACACTGAGTTTTTTTTGATGTTGTTGTCGCACGAGTAGGTCAAGTACTTCTTTCTTAGCATATAATTATTTTTTTACTTTATATAGTACATACATAAGATATAAAGTAAGATGTACTAATATATTGTCTCTAATTTCCTTTTCTTCTCGTCTTTCCCGTCTTTTTGAGCCGAGTCTTGCGGAAATAACCTCTCTATTCTTTCGGGATAGAGATAAGGTCTTCGTACACATTACTCTCTTCAAACCTCATTTGTAGGATTTTACTGGATCGTTGCTCTATTATTGTGTACAGTACATACATAAGATAAAGTTTTCGTTGACATGTAATAAAAAAGTAAAGTTGACAACACATAAAAAAATGTCGTCAAAAAAGATCCCGCCCAGAGTCAAAATTTTAAATATGTTGACAATTTGCATGACCTGAAAAAGACTATCCCACGTGGCGCACCAACTCGACCACAACACAAACCCCCTGGGACTCACACTCCTTACCTAGTCAAAAAATATAATAATATAAAAATAGATTCCGTCACGTTCTCTACATTGGTACTACTATTGCTCATTCTCCTCTCTTTCGTTGTCGTCGCCGACAGGAATCTACGACGTCGGAGAATCGATAGGGTTAGGGTTTTCGTTAAAATGGAAGGCGTCATTGGCCTTGTGAATAGAATTCAGAGAGCGTGTACGCTCCTCGGTGATTACGGTGATGATCGAAGTTTGCCTACTCTTTGGGATACTCTTCCAACTATCGTCGTCCTCGGTGGCCAGGTCTGTTTCATCTACACCTATTTTTTTGTGTTTTCTCTGTGTTTTTTTTGTTTTTTGTTTTCTGTTTATGTATGTGTTTTGGTTATTTTATGTACGTGAGAATCTGTAGATGATTGTTTTCTGTTTGATCGGTGTTTGTGATGGTGTTAATGCTTTTTATGGAGTTTTATTAGTGTTGCTAGTTAATTTAGCGTTCTTGCTTTGTTTTTTGAAATGTTTTGATTGAATTATGGTGGTTTTGTAGAGTTCGGGGAAGTCTTCGGTTTTGGAGAGCATCGTCGGCCGGGATTTTCTTCCTAGAGGATCAGGTAATGGTTAATGCACGAATTATATATACTTTTTTAGGAGAAGTACAAAACTATATTCGTACAGTTAAATCTGCTGTTATTTTCAGTAATTTTAAACTGTAATTTCTCAATTGGAGATTCTTTTTGCCAGTAGGTTGGTGCTAACAAATTATTAAAAAGAAAAAAAAGGAAACAAACAGAAACAGAGGTTTGCGCAAGCCTAGGTGATTTTTTCCCATTTTTCTAAGCCTTGTTAGGTAGAGTTAGTCGATATTTGTGTTGGTAGGAGGTAGCAGGAATCTGGAAAATAGTTAAGATACACACAAGCTGTCTATAACACCACCATCATTAAAAAAACAGAAATAGAGAACGAAATTCTTGTTATGAGGATTTTGGATGTTGATTGACATTTCGACACCACGCATATATGGATCAGTCAGTGCAATAGAATATCAGAAACTTCAAATCTGATTGTTTTTCCCAGAAAGATAAAATGAAATCAGCTTTAGCAAAATGTTAGCTCTGATTATGTCCAATAAAATAAAGAAGATATAAAAGAGACGTGGTTAAGCGCTTATTTTATTTCCTTGTTATTTACTATCGTTTTGGCTTTTTGTTTTTTTGGTGAAGAAGAATAGAGAAATACTGGATAGCTGGTACACTTGTGAATGCTGTATTATTAACATATGCAGGTAGAGAAGAAATACTAAAATAAGCTGTTACTTTAGTGAAAAAGAAACTAGTCGTTTTTAATTGGACCGCAATTTACATTCTCAGTGACTCTTATATTGAGATATTTGACAATTAATTGACTAATTAGGGAAAATGCTACTTTTCTAGCCAGTTTTAGACCTTTTGACCTAATGATTGGAGCTTATGCTTATGTCATTATGTGTATTATCATGATTTGCTCGAGTTAAACTTTTCTTATCACAATGATAGACACAAAAAATAGATAAGACACTGATAGTGTCTGTTTTTTTAAAAGAAAAATTATGTACTATTTATTTCCTTCTCTACCTTTCAGCATTACCCAGTTTTAGCTATCTTTGCCCTGGACCTACAAACTATACCATTTCACTATTTTAGAGATACTCCAAATTGATACAATTTTCAGGAAGCTGCATTGGAATTTTATAAAAACACCTTACAATTCTGCTCTATTGCAATCTCGCTCTGCTATTAGAAACAAAAATCTGTAATTTATTGGAAAATAAAGTTATAAACCACAATATTTCTCCTTCCCTCCCTTTTGTTCAGTTTTCACATAGCAGTATTTATTTTGGGCAGGGATTGTAACAAGAAGGCCATTAGTTTTGCAACTTTACAAGACTGAGCCAGGACAAGAAGACTATGCACAGTTTCTTCACACTGGAAATAGAAAGTTTATAGATTTTGGTATGTTGGTTTTTTGAAAATGTGGTACAATGCGTAGTTGCCTAAGAGCTTCTTCATTTTTTCCTTTACTGTTGTGCTTTCGACATTACCTTCCCATATTTCTTCTGGTAGTTAGTCCATTACCAAAGCCATTTTGGAAGTGAATCTTCCGTGTAATATCATTTCTAACTATGCAATATTTATGTGTTGATTTGATTTGTACATTTCTTCTTAATGAAGCTATGGTAAGATCAGAGATCCAGGAAGAAACTGACAAGGTGACTGGAAAGACAAAGCAGATTTCTTCTCTTCCTATTAATCTCAGCATCTACTCTCCAAACGGTGCGCTTTTTATGTGCTTTAAACTTATGTTACGTTACTTTCTTTTATTTACAATAGTGTGCTGGCTTTCGTTGTGGATTTAGCAGAAGGCCTGCAAATGATGGTTTGCATTCTTGCTTCTATATGTATATGTCATTATGTTCTATTTTGCTTTGCTTCTCCAAAGTTTTGTGTGTTATTACCTATTGTTCATATAGCGCACACAAAAAGAACTTAACAAAGTTGTTATATATGTAGTTCATATTAACATGTTGTAAAACGTCCTTGATTTAAGGAGTTGCTTGATTGTAAGTTTTTAGCTTTTACTCTATGGTTGATAGATTCTTGGTATTCATATGACTACTCGGTATTTGGGGTTTTGATTTCACTATATCAATCAGATAACTCATATTGGGTTTTCATTGCAGTTGTCAATTTGACGTTAGTAGATTTACCTGGTTTAACAAAGGTCGCCGTCGGTATGTTGTTCATTCTCATGTTGTTGGTCTTTCATTAATACATGTTTCATGATCTATTTTGCTCAATACAATTGTGGTTGTTGACAGAGGGGCAGCCTGAAAGTATAGTTCAGGAAATTGAAGATATGGTTCGCTCATATGCTGAGAAGGTAATATGCTGAGCGGCAGAGGATGTCTTTGTTGAGTGGCAAAATCTAACTATGTTTCTACCCTTTAGAGATGAGAAAGTAGAATTTTGAGAATTATGATCCCGCTTACACAGAAGTTAGAGACTTTGATGCTACTGCTTAGCTTGTAAATTTTGCTCTCGACACTTGATAGGAACCAACTGACAAAACTTTGGTTCTTGCATTGTAGCCGAACTGTATTCTTTTAGCTATTACCCCAGCCAATCAGGATGTTGCAACATCTGATGCTATAAAGATTGCTCGAGAAGTTGACCCAACTGGTATTATTTTCATATCTTCTCTGGCATAATCTAACATTTGCTTAATTTTTCCTGTCTTGGTTTTTTCTCCCACATTTGAAAAATACTTTTGAGGGTCAGTGGAGCATTAACTTGCTTCCATGCAGGTGAACGTACAGTCGGTGTGTTGACAAAGCTTGACTTGATGGACAAGGGAACAAATGCATTGGATGTGAGTCTTTTTTCCTTTCTACCTAACAATTGGCTTTTGTTTGTTGAAGAGGTGTTATATTTCTCTGTATTAATCAACTTCTTTTGATTCCTGATCCATTGTTAACGATGAGTAGTTTAATTATTCATTGGCTTATACCTATTAAATCTTCTAAATTTACCCCAAAAAAAAAGCGCTAATCTCTTCTTAAAGTCTGTTCCATGCTGATTCTTCCATAGGTCATCTGCAATATCCATCCCCACTTTGTATTTGAGGATAATGTGTTTGTTTCGAAGTGATAATATTCATTGAATGTGAGTTTTATGTCTGCAGAGTATGAGGATAGAGCTTATAACTAGTTTCATCATCTGTGGCTGTATGAAGTCCCTTGCATCAGGCATGCATTTTAAAACTGTATATTTACGGACAAGAACTTTCAGTTTAAGTTATACCATCCTGAACTTACAGATTGGTATAAATAGGTATTGATGAATAGTTGAATGTAGAGAAGGCACCGATGCCCTCTCGATGCCATAAATTACAATAGGATGTGGTTGTTCCCTTAGGATTATGCAAACATTCATTAGGTTCTCTTTACGAATACCTTAAAATATCTGTTATTAATAGCAGCAGTTTTTATGTTACCTTTGCTGCTGCTAGTCTTTTTAGAATTACAGACAATTGCAACATCTTTTTGGCTGTATCCTGTCATATATTGACATTCCTCTTAAGGTTTCCTTTTCAATTGTGTGATGAAGGTACTTGAAGGAAGATCTTATCGGTTACAACATCCTTGGGTTGGAATTGTCAATCGTTCACAGGCCGATATTAATAGAAATGTTGATATGATTGTTGCAAGGCGTAAGGAACGTGAATTTTTTGCTACAAGTCCTGAGTATGGACATTTGGCCAGTAGAATGGGTTCAGAGTATTTGGCAAAACTACTCTCAAAAGTATACCATTTACCGAAGCTGCTTATACCAAGAAAGATTTATCTCTAATTCTTGCAATTGATATTTGTTACACGATGCTGATAGCAAATATTTGTTTTTCCAGCACCTAGAATCTGTGATCAAGGCCCGTATACCAACCATTTTGTCTTTGATCAATAGAAGCATTGATGAGCTTGAGGAAGAGCTGAGTTACCTAGGGAGACCTGTTGCTATTGATGCAAGCGTAATGATACTAATCTTTTCCTTTTCTGAAAATATGCTACTGTTTGATTCAATATCATTAATAGTTTGCTTAAATTGACAGGCGCAGTTGTATGCCATATTAGAGCTGTGCCGTGCTTTTGATAGGATTTTCAAGGAGCACCTTGAAGGAGGGTAAGAATATACATTTTTCTTTAACCAATATTAAGTGTAAGAACTAAGAAGACAGGAGGGAAAGTTGTTGATTGGACTACTACTGTATTTTGCTTCTGTCTTCACAACCACAACTATATTTTCTTATGTAAAGGAAAACACACAATGTTTGTCCATTAACATATAAATCATTGTCCATCCAATGGTTGTCAAATTGTGTTCCAACCTGTGAAAATGTTGGAAACATGTAGTGAGGATATTTTCAGTTGTTTTCATGCATAGTGTCTTAAAAACCAAGGACATATACTACACTGCCTTGTAATGAGGTTAAGTTGATCATATTTGGTCTTACACATCTGCTTGTGTAGGCGACCAGGAGGAGATCGCATTTATTGGGTTTTTGACAACCAGCTCCCTGCTGCTCTAAGAAAGCTTCCACTGGATCGTCATCTCTCGCTGCAAAATGTTCGGAAGGTTGTCTCTGAGGCAGATGGCTATCAACCTCATCTAATAGCACCAGAGCAAGGTTATAGACGACTTATTGATGGTGCTCTTAATTATTTCAGGGGTCCTGCTGAAGCCTCAGCAGATGCAGTAAGTGCTTGCACCTTTTCATTCTTTTATCCCGTGGATGTGAATAGTCATGTTACTTCACGTGGCTATGGTTAAGGGAATCTTTTTATGACATTGGTTATGCAAGTCCTTTTTGGGACCAAAGGTTGTTGCCAGTATTCCTGAAGTTGTTGGAAAATGGAAGCTTTCTGAAATATTCTCTCCAGGGATTGGAAGCACTAGCTTAGCTTATGTACTAGGGAATTGAGTAGGAAAATAAAATCATGGTCATGTCAAAAGGAGTTTGTCATATAAGCCAACTTAAAGACTTGGAATTGTATAGCAATAAACCAATTAATAATAACAAAGCTGCTTTCAGTTGAAAGCGCATAATTTTTCCGTCCCCCTTTCCCGCTAAAGAAAAACAAACCAATTGTTCAGGATTCCAATGCTCAAGGTGAAACTGCTATTTCAACTGAACTCTATGAATTGACTATGTAGGTTCACTTCATCTTGAAAGAGCTGGTGGGGAAGTCAATAGGGGAAACTCAGGTATGATCCGAAACCTCTACTACTTCATTATCTAATGGCAAATGATGAAATTGATACTTTCTGGATGCAGGAACTAAGTCGCTTTCCAACTCTTCGAACAGAGATAGCATCCGCTGCGAATGAAGCATTAGAGAGATTCCGTGATGACAGCAAGAAAACTGTTCTGAGGATGGTGGACATGGAATCCTCATACCTTACTATTGACTTTTTCCGGAAACTCCCACAAGAAGCTGATAAGGGTGGAAGCCCAACTGCTTCAACTGCTGACCGTTACACAGAGGGGCACTTGCGCAGGATAGGCTCAACCATTTCCTCATATATCGGGATGGTGTCTGATACCCTACGAAATACAATACCAAAGGCCGTGGTTTATTGTCAAGTTCGGGAAGCCAAACATTCTTTACTTGATCATTTCTATACGCAACTGGGCAAAAAAGAGGTATTTCACTGGTCTACTTAAATTAAATACCCTCCAGAGATTCTTTTTCCCTTATGCTTAACATCCTTAATGACATCAGTAGAGTCAATGGATGATGATCAATTCATCAAATTGTGAACATGTCATAAGAGGTGAAAGCAATGTTATCTGCTGATGCAATGCTGCAAGCACTTTAAACCTTTTCTTTTACTTCTATGCACAAAAGTTTCCAAATAATTGCAGAGTTTGATATGATTTATCTGGAAAAAAAAATATCGAATGAATAGTCTGAACTAATTTTAGTAAGACCTTTCACAGCAGATCTGCTTTCCTTTCAGGTTCAAAGTTAGTCTACAGTACTTAATGAATTTTTCCCAACGTGTAGGGTAAAACTCTCGCCCGGTTACTGGATGAAGATCCAATCCTGATGGAGAGGAGGCAGAAATGTTCAAGAAGGCTTGAGCTGTACAAGTCTGCTAGAAATGAAATAGATTCAGCGTTATGGGCAAAATGATGTTAAAGTGTACATAGTTTGCAGACTAGTTGGAAAATGTTTTTCGGTCTAAACCTAGACTTTTCAAAGCCACAGCATCTTTTACGGGTTTAAACTAAGTTGCATTATTGGCAGTTTTGAACTTTGAATTATGCCTGTCTTTTACCATTGGCAATATCTAAGAAATTTAGGCTTTTCCAAAGCTACTGGGTCGTCCATGGAGGAGGGACTTTTTTAAATTCGCATAATTTTTTCTTTTACTGCCTGTCAGACGTCAACAAAGGCAAAGGGAAAAGCAATGGTTTTGCATATCATATGCACTAGTTGTGCAATGGAAAAGAACATAGAATTTTTAGCTATATTTACAACATCATCTCACAAAACATACTACGTCCTAAGCATAGAAGGTTGCAGTAGGTTGACCACTGTAAGAATAATTTACGGGGATAAGTCTACATATGGAACTGTGTTAACCTAAACATATGACAATGTGTCGATACCAACAATATAAGCTAATCGGTGTCAATGTTATAGAACGTGTCTACCCAATCATATGTTATACCTGGAAACAAACATGTTAGACCACCGACCAGATCTAGCTTGGTATGAAGACAGTTCATTGATATTGATTGATATGCAACTTCTTCATATAACCAAAGTCCAGAGCATTCAAACAGATGAAGAAGTTGGCCATTAGCAGCAGTATACAATAAAAAGTTACTAAATATAATCACTCAAGGCCTGCAAGCATGGCGAAGTGAATTAAGAAGCTGGTATCTAACAAAATGCACAATGAAGCTAAGCCACAACCTGGTAAAAAATGAAGAAGTTATGGCCAATGAACAGCCACCATATTCGGTTTTCATATACTCTAAAATGGATATCAATGGTAGGACCTAGAACAATTGATTTTGTGAACGAAAATAATGCTAATACTGTTTCCCTCTTTGTTTATTATGACAAGAAAATACAAAGCTTCAATGAATCATACCCAATAAACTCTGTAGAGATCTACGTCAACAACAGATCTTTCACCAGTATGCGTATGTCTCAAACTGTGGTTGTTCCAGCACCTGACTTTTTGTCGATCTCCTCAAGATCTGCCCATAGTTTCGGATCTTCATAATCTTTGATAAGAAAAGCAGGCTTTGCTTCCATAAGTAAGTGAGGTGGATTTCGGGTTGCCAATCCAACAACAGGCATCCCAGCTGCCACCCCAGCTTTTATTCCAGAAACAGAATCCTAAGCATAGAAGAAAAGTTAGGAGTTTTAATGGTGTGAGGATAAGAAAATGAAGAATGTGGTCGACAAAGAAATCAGACCTCAAATATGAATGTGTGATCTTTCGACACCTTAAGCAGTTCAAGGGCCTTCAAGTAAGGGTCGGGAAATGGTTTTGCACGCTCACACTCACTTCCAATAATAACCACATCAAAGAAATCCTTTAGGCCAAGTATTTCTATTATCAGTTCACCGTTCAGTCTAGGTGCATTGGTAACTGCAGCCCGTTTCAGCCCATGATCCTCAATCCACTTCTTCACCTTGTACAGGCCGTCTATAGGTTTCAACTGTTCTTTCACCAACCTAATTGTAACCAAAACAGCTTGCCTATGAGACTGGAGGAAGAGTAGCACAAGGTCAATTGAAATATACAAGTAGCGTAAGTAGAGTTACGAACCTTCTAAACATAGCTTCTTTCTCGTCACAGAATTTAAGACCCCTTTCCAGATCATCAGGGAAAAGGGCAGCAGCAATGTCATCATTGTGTTTGCCAGCAATAGTTTTGACAAACCAGTCCTCATCAACCGGCACACCACCATTGTAGCCTATCTGCAGAACCAGAATCACCAGCAATTATGAGAAACATGATTGACATTTTCCCAAATATCAGTAACTTCTGCATAAACAGGAAAATCAAAGCTTCTTCCTCGGGTGGGGTTGCAAATGTGTCCGGGGGGGTGAGGGGGGTGAGGGGGAGGAGGTAAGGAGCATTTCACAAGTCAAAAGGTACAAAAGAAGCTTTTTCTATAAAAGAAAAGCGATTAATTGTTGTTACCTCTAGAAGCATTTCACGGAATGCATAAAAGTGAAGTGGATCTGAATCACATAAAGTCCCGTCTACGTCAAATAGTACTGCTTGAAGGGGAGCAAGTCTTGCTAGAGACGAAGAACTGCTAAGAGAAAATGTAATAGTTTAGCTTTGCTTTCTGAATGCAATTATAAAAAAATCTCCAAACACAACTCGGTGTAATAACAAACATTAATCAATGCAAGCTTTATACATTCCATGGACAAATCTAGGCTTAAAACATTTGGTGCAATGACATCCATTGCCTTTTGTTAGGATGATGTGTCTTAAAAAAAGTAAACATATGCAACAAACCACACCATCCCGAAGTCATTGATTCTTATCTTGGACTACCTCTGACACAATCTCAAAGAATGTATTAAACATTAGTATGGGTATTTCCTGAACAATTTTATGAGGGCCAAGAATTCATGAAAAGGATATTAAAGCATTAATGATAACAGTATCTCAATCTATGTTGCCCGGACTCTCCAAAATGTTGCCACACCCGTGTCGGATCTTGCATAAATACACTACTTTTGGAGGATTCGACACACACCCTGCCACATAGATCTCAATGATATAATGATTTCATATTTTGAAAAAATCAAGTTAAATGTGCACTAAGTTGCTGTTCATTAGGGGCTATACCAGGAACATTTTAAGCATAAGATCCAGCTTAAGTTCAATTATCATGTTATCAATTTGGTTAAGTATGTTCTGGACCAGACATTTACTCATGTAGTATACGGACTTAAATTCAGTGAGGGGAAGAAAATTGAGAATAAATTGCAAAGAACTTAAATCGTGCAATAAGCCTAGTCCAATAGTCACTATGAAGCTCATACCAGCCAGGAGAACACAGGAATTCCCATCATATAAAAAAGAAATTTCAACTAAATGAAAATAAACAGAAGTCATCAGTGTTATATTGTGAACCAGAAAGAAGAATCGCTGATGCCCAAAATCACAATCGATCAATCGAAAACTTAGTGAGAATACTGAGTTTTGGATCAGAGAAAACAGAATAAGAAAACCAGTGGAGAAGAGAAAGATATTGATCTGCTTAGCAAAAAGAATACATTTTTTTTTACATTTTACCTTTACATCAATCAGATACAAGCAAATCAAAACTTCCAAGAAAATCTGATAATTACAAAGAAATCATCAACAGATGCAGAAATATCAAATAGCACACATTGAGATTGAGATCAATGGCATTCTCAGAAAAAGAAGCTCAAACCACATATCAGATTCAAGAATCTCAAAACATTCAAAGACATGTCATAATAACAGAGATCATAATTGTCATACAGTGATAAACTGATTAAAAAAATTTGGGAGCTCAAGCAAATTCATGGAAAAAAATAAAAAAGAAATTCCAGTCAACAAAAATGCATCAAGAATTCAAACCCCAGATCAAATCTTGGCTAAAATCCAAATATTGTCATTAAATAAAAGCGAAAAAGGATTAAAGATTTCACCTTTCTGTAGAATTTTCCCCAGCAGGAGCAGTCATCTTGAAAAGGGTATCAAACTATTCTGAGAGTTGTGTACAAAAATGCCGATTTCCACAAAAGTGTGCTTTGAGGAAATAGAAAAGGTGGCGACTTTATGAAGTGAAGAAGAAATAGATGGTATAAGAGAATCTTCTAAAGAATCAGAATAGTACTCCAGCTCCAGCGTTCCATAAAGCGTTAAGGTAACAAAGTGATGGCCTTTCATCTCTGACTATATTTTCCCTAACTTCACGTGTTACATTTCATGTTTTTTTTTTTTAAAAAACAATTTCTTTTTGGCTTTATATATATATATACAATAGGATCTCTCAATAACAACATCCCTATATAATAGTAGTACTTAACTATAAAAGTCAAGCTTTTTCGGAACCAATTTTTTGCACTTTGCTATAACATCAAAAAATATTCGGAACAAACGAGTGTGTTATAGAGAGGTTTGAATATATATATATATATATATATATATATATATATATAGTATCCGGGTCAACTTAAATAAACTTACATTAATTAATTCTACGTGATATAATCTATTGCTAGCAGAGATATCTAGTATATTTATTGGTATGAACAGTGACAATCAAAAATTAATATAAGGGAATTCAAAAAAGAAGAAGAATTGTTGCTATCTCCGATTTAGTTTTCTAATTATTTTTTTGCTATTACTTGCTATCAGGACTTCTCTCACATTCTTTAGCCGAGGGTCTATCGAAAACAGTCTCTCTGCCCTGACCACACTGGGCTGTTGTTGTTGTTGCAAAAAAAGAATATCACACCTGAGATTTAAACCTATAACCTAAAATAACCTTTTAACCCCCTTCACTACAACACTTGAATTTTTTCCATGTGAAAGGTATTCAACAACTGACATATAACCAAAAAAAAATATAGATATGTACACATTCGAAGAATCATATCTATTAAATTAAAAAAATTTATACATGAGGATATGTAAATTAAAAAAAATCACGTAATATAGTGTCGGTTAAGCTTAAGCCTAATGTAATAGGGCTTTGAGATGATATCTGATTAATTAGTGTTTGGTATTTATTTTCGTCATTTGTCATATTAGCAATTGGAAGAAGTGGAGTATTCAATTTTTTAAAGTGAGAGTATTCAATTATGCTTCTACTTTGTTCATGTGGCTGTGTTTTTTTCAACCTTCCTTGCTTTTCTGGGAAGTGTAGCTACTAATCTATCTACCAATCACATGCCTCTTTTTTAACAAGGGTAGGAAAGAAAGGTTTTTATATAAATACTTTATTAAAAGAATGGTTTATTTGTTCCTAAGTTAATCCGGACTAGTATATGCGGTACAAAATTTTATAAGTAACACTCTAAATTTTTATAATTGTATTCAATGTGGATTAGAGGGTATGTGAAGAGTAGTATTTTAAAAGTTGAAAGCACAGGGCAAAAGTATTTTACCTATTATGGGTCTAGGTCTTATCATGATGCCACTTGACATAAAGCCCGACAATTTTTTTGTTTTTAAGTAAAATAAATTTTAAAATATATCAAAATATGAAAGATTATGGAGAATTGAGTCAAGGAAATAAATGTTATTATATGAAGAAACCTTATATGCATATTAGAGATTTTATATTAATTATGAGTTTTATATGGAGCAATAAAAGAAGACGTGCAAGGCAATAAACAGTCATGGCCGTAGACGGTGCAAGGCATTGTCCAGGGCACTGTCTTTGGCGCCCCAGACAGTGCCTTGCGCAGAAACATTGGCGCCATAGACAGTGCCTCGCGCAGAAATATTGGTGCCCCAGACAGTGCCTCGTGCAAAAACATTAGTGCCATAAACAGTGCCTCGCGCAGAAATATTGGTGCCCCAGACAGTGCCTTGCGCCAACGAAGCTATCCAAACCAATTTTATTTCCTCCTTAGTTTTGGACGTGGACACGTTAACCCTACATTATAAATACCTCTTAAAGTTATTTTTTGGAGGGAGGAGGACGCTTTTAAAGAGGGGATTCGACCCAAGGAGGCAAGAACACGCAAGGAGCAAGGAGGAGAATTCTTCTACGAGTTTTTCACTTCCTTCTTCCTATTTTCATTATTGGTTATGAATTCTAGTATTATAGTTTGCATACTATTATGAATAGCTAATTTGTTATCTAGATTTTGATGGAACATTTTGTAAGATAAATTCTCGTTATGTTTTTATATAATTGAACCGTTAGATTTCTCTACTTGTTCAACTACGTGTTTACTGCCGTTGATTGAATGACCATCAATTGACTGTGCTTATTTAATGTGTATTGCTTGAGAGATAGTATATATTTAGGTAGTTGTTGAATAACATCACTCCTAACATATGTGAGAGATTAATACGGAGGGTTTAAAGGCGGATTAGAGATAACGAAACTTTGGTGCGATCGTAGTGAGCGGTGAATTAGTGCCAGCTAGCGTAGTTCGAGAGAATATGTCTACTAAATTATTGTAGTTGCTCGAGAGAAAATTAAGACACCCGAAGTACTTACGATCGGTAGAGAATACTTAGGCGAAATTATAGATTACGTAGAGGGAAGGATTCCGACAATTGGGGAAAATTTAATTCTAGACCTCCTTAATCTTTTCTCCAACCCTTAGTACCCCTAGTTGTTAATTTACTTCTTTAATTTATTCATTAATTAGTTAGACATAAGAATCTTAATATTTATAACTTAAGAATTGTTCGAGCTTGTCTTCTGAGTGATATTGAACAGTTATAGTGAACCCTTAGTTCTCTGTGGGATTCGACTCCGGACTTTTAGACCGGATTATATTTGCAGCGACCGCTTATCCTTTTTAGGACTAGAGTTGGGCGTGATCAAATTTTGGCGCCGTTGCCAGGTAACTAACGACGTAGTTGTAGCTGTATATATTGCTAGGTTTCAAGTTTGAACTTTTATTTTGTTTTATTCTATTTTTTTTAATTTTATTTTATTTTACTTGTTGATTTGAGAGACGTGACATTTTGGAATTATGAGAATTTTTATGCTGGTAATTCTACTTTTGATCCTCCTTATGCATATTGTGGAGGAAACTACCCATGGCAAAATTATCAAAATATTCCTGAGAGCAAGTTATGTGCACCAACTTAATCTTATGTGTGGAATGTGTGTGATATGTGTGGTGGTCAAGATGGTCACTTTCATGGTTGTACTTATATTTCTTATCCTCCCCCACTTCTTATTATGATAGTTCTACCTGTGAAGTTAATAGGAACAAAGAACCTGGGGATGCGGACCTGAAGGAGATCAAGGATATGTTAAAGTGCCTTCTGGAAAAAAATAATGAGAAACAACTGCAGATAGAAAGGCAAGAGGAAACTATTTACAACTTGGAGGCTCAAGTGAGTCAAGTGGTCTAAGCTTTTAATACTCAACAAGCCAATATTGGGGATAGTAGCCAAGAAGAGCGTGAATTCGAAGTGCTATTGGAGGAGGTCAGAGTAGAACATCAACAACCTAGCCAACTACAATTTGAGGATGTCGATGTTGAAGACGTGAGACTACAGTCAGCCAAGAACATTGAGGATATAAATTTTATTGACTCTAGTATCATTGATGCTGAGGATGTTGAAAGTCCTAAAGTTCATGTGTTTGAGCGCATTGGTCCTCACTCCAAATATTTTTCCACATTGTGTTTGGATGATGATATGGAAATAGAATCATCCGAGCCGATTGAGGAGTCGAGGAATGAGGAGTCAAGGAATGGGGAACAAGGTGCTTAATATTTCTTGCCAGAAAGAGATGACTACATACCTCATCTGAAAGCCAAGAAGTGTAGAATATTACAATGGTTGCTTGGGCCAATTAGATATGTTCCACCACCCTTGGAGAACAACCGAAAACTTGAAGCCAATTTGGGGACTCAATTCTTAAGCTCGAGGTGGAGGCAGAAAATGGTTCACGCTGTGCCGCGATGTTAAATCAGGCGCTTGTTTGTAGAAAACCCAACTTTATTATTTTTTTATAGTTTTTTTAAATTATTTTCTTATTGTATTATTTTTGTAGTGTCGTTTTTAATTTTTTAGGAGCATGGGAAGCATAGCTATTGGAAGGATGCCACATCAAGCCAGATGGTTAGAACTAAGTGTGGAGTGCCCGCACAAAGAAAAATACTTGGAGAAGTCTTAGTACCTCATGAGCTGCTAGTGCTTCGGCCTTTGGCCTACCAGGGAGTTTCTTTTACCATCTTATTATTTATGTTGTGCTTTGCACAGTTTTAAGTGTGGGGTGAGGAGATTATTTGGGTGATTTTCTATGCTATTATAGTTGTGTTAGTTTAATTGATGATTTATTTTTAGAAAAAAAAATTAGACTTTTCCCGATGATGGATCTCCTAGAAGGGTTTCTTGGGTTTATTAAAGTCTAAACAAAAAATACAAAAAAAGTAGAAAATAGAAAAATACAAAAATCTATTTTTTTTATTTCCCTTAGGTAGTAATAATCCCCTGTTGTTTTCTTTGTGCATCGATTCTTTTTCATGGGATGTAACTTGAACCGGGTAATAATATTTTTTTTTCTTAGAGTAGAGTAGTACTTAGGAAATATAGGAGAAGAAATGATGTGATTCGCTCCTTTTGACTTGTTTGATGATTGCATACTTAGGTTCTGGCATGTGTTTCACCTTCCCTTGATTTTAAATATATAATGATGCCTTGGTAAAAATGAATAGCATGTGTTATGACTCCTATGTCTCGTTTGCTTGACTTGTGTTCACTTTGTGCTTAATGTATAATATATCTCTTGGCTTTGTGAGTACTTGTTTGATTGAGAGTCGGAATGGGACCGTTCTTAGTGAGTCATATGCCATGTGTGAAGTGAGTTCTTTGTAGTCCATGTTATTGCATTTGAGTCTAGAACTTGCCCGGAATGTGAACTAAAGCGAAATCTTAGGTGTTGCTCGATTTGAAAAGTGATGTTAGGCTTTCTTTCATCTTTTTGAATTTTGTTGCTTATCACAAATTAAGTCATCCCTAGTTTACCCTTTTGAGCCTATTACCTTTCTTTTGGCACCCGCATTACAAGCCTATCCCCTTTTGTTCTTAATTGAATTATTTTGATCCTTATACCTCTTAAAGCACTTGAATTGTAAAGAGAGCGTTAGAAAGATGTAATGAGGAAAGTTGGGGTAGCTTTTGAGTGGAACCAATAGAAGGAAGAAATGTGCACTTGTGCTTTAAATAAAAATCCACTAGCGGCAAGAGAAAAAAAGAATAAAATGAATAAATAAAGGTTTCTTATTTTTGCTAATGG